CAGCAGACAGACAGACAGACAGACAGGCAGACAGGCAGACAGACAGACAGACAGACAGACAGACAGACAGACAGACAGACAGACAGGCAGACAGACAGACAGACAGAATGATAGAGAGAAAGCAAAAGGAGTGCGGGAGGGGGTGGGGCTGTTGTCCTATCAATTTTGACAAAGGAACACAGCTTTTTTTCCGTGCTTGCTCATGAAGACTTAATTTTAGTTTATGTTCATGTATCAAGTTGAAATTGACTTTGAACTTTTCACGATATTATATTATTATGGTTTTGGGGAGAATGGGATGATCTGTTTTCAGAGACACTATAACATGTGTGAATTAGATTTCTGTTCCAAGTGATTATTTTTTTTAACCGTTCAAAATAGACCCTGACGAGTTTGACCTTTACCTGACTAAAAGTTATGATAGAAGAGCATTATTTTATTGTTGTTATAAGTCCGTAACTTGTAACCAAACTGGAAGATAAAATAATCTCATTCTCAAGCGTACAATTTTGTAATTGAGCAAAGGCTGTTGTCGATACGTATTGTTGAACTTTACAAATACTTCTTTGACAAAAGGAGTTTTGTCTGTTTGTTGTTTTTGTTTTGTTCTGGGGTTTTTTTGGGGGGGGGAAGGGTTCTGGGGAGGGGGTTGTTGTTTGTTTGTTTATGTTTATGTTCATGAAAGTGTTGTTACGCCCCCTTCAACTCAATTTAGGTAATGAGAAAGCGGGCTTTGACCCTGAAATTCTCCTCAATCAGAACCAAACTCTGGTCTCGTGCGCGCGACGGTGAAAGGCTTAACCGATACCCCACTGATGCCGGTTACGAAAAGACCAATGGTTTATAAAAAGAACACCTAGATTCTATATCATCTTCATGGTAGAATGAAAAACTTGTTCTTCCATATTGATTTCCAGACATTTTGTTATCTTAAGAGTTGTTTCACTGAAATAGTACATTTGTTTGACTTTGTCCAAAAAATCGAATGCGTTTGACACAGGACAATCGAGTTTCAGGGCGTGTCTTATTCAACCCGCCAACTAAATTTGCTAGTGCGCGTCCATCCATAGACTGGGAGGGAGGGGCTGGGGGAGGTGGTTGTGAAATGAGAAGATAGAATCTTAGGGTCAAAGAGAGATGGGAGTGATAGAAT